TCGCGACGCGTGATTGGACGCGTGTATTCCATATGCAAATCGATTATTCGATTCCTTCGTTCGTATTCGAGTCGACGTATTGTAGGTGCAGCTTATCGACATTATGCTGATTTCCCAGGTGAATATGAACGCGTACGATTCGTCGCGCGACGGAAAAACCGCATGAAAGCCACCAGACGAGATTCTTTTTCTTCCACAGAAATATCTTCTGGTGTTCACATATCGATGATTTTCCCATCGCGTTTTACTTAATACCATCTTCTCATGGTTTTTTAAATTGCCTCGCTTCGTGTTTGTCTTCTGACTTCTACAGAGATGGTTTTTTTAAATTGCATAATTTTATGTTTGCCTCTTAACTTTTATAAAGATGTTTTTTTTTAATCGTACAATTTTATGTTCATTTTTTAACTTTTATAAAAGTGTTTTTTTTTTAATTGAGTAGCTTCATGTTTATCCTTTAACTTTTACAGAGCTAATTTTTTAAAACCATGTAGTTTTATGTTTGTCTTTTAACTTTTATAGAAATGATTTTTTTAAATCATGTAATTTTATGTTTGTCTCTTAACTTTTTCAGAAATTATTTTTTTAAATCATACAGTTTTATGTTTATCCTTTAACTTTTACAGACCTGACTTTTTTTTAATCATACAGTTTTATGTTCATCTTACAACTTTTACAGGGATGATTTTTTAAGATTAGACAAAGAAATGATTTAACGTTGGTGCAACTATTATATCATTAATTTTTAAAGAATTTATGCTGTACAATAACAATGGTAATATCCACATATGATCTCTGGTTTCGTGAATTTAAAAGCAAAATGCACAATCACATATGTGAAGGTGTTGTTTAATGAATATAAAAATTGACTAACAATATTTCATGATTATAATCAATATAAAAATTGATTGACAATACTTCATTACTGAAATTCCTATAAAAATTGTACAAAAATATTTCATGACCAAAATCAACTTAAAAATTGATTGACAATACTTCATTCCTGAAATTCCTATAAAAATTGTACAAAAATATTTCATGATTAAAATCAACATAAAAATTGAAAGGAAAAAAAACCAGCCAAACTAAACCAAAAAGAAAATTCTAATAATATTTGAATATATTTGGAGCATTAAATGTCTCGATAAAATAGCACAAAAAACTTACATATTCAGAACCATGAATAGATCGAAAATGAAATCGAACGAAGCAGTTTTGTTGGAGCAAGTTTGAATACAGAAATATTGTTTAACAAGTCGATGGTGAAATGAATGCGTCGTTGGCTGTTCCATGAATGCACCCTATGTTCTCGAACGTCGAACAAAAAAAGTTTATCGAGGCAAGTAATTTTTGCGCCGTTTCGATGCAGAATGTAGCAGTTTTGTAATGAGAATCGACAGGGAATATCGAAGGGGGAGTAAAACATTGAGTGAGTTAGGAAGCTGGTAAACTCGAGGAGGGATCAAATATTCAGAAGTTGAAAATGGAAGTTCAAAAGTTGTGAAAGGCACGGGGAAAAGGCGGCTTAAATTATAAACCTTGTAGTCATCTAACTTATCCTTAAGAGTTCACGTCGATCATAAATTTTTGCTAACTACACTCTCCTCGCGTGTAACACTGTACCCGAAATTTATTCCATCTTTCCGAGAGAACAAAAAAGGCCGAGTAATGTCGGTAAATTCCGTTAGCAAAACGAAGTTAGAGCATTAATTGGTCCGAAATTTAAGCGTCGAACCTTTCGCGACCCTAACCCACGTTCCTCAATTAACCAGCTTCCTCTGGCCCGTCTCGACTATTAATTAACGAAACGCAGAGAAATCGTAGCTCGATTATTCCCGAGGAATTCTCCACGGGGCAATTCAATTTCTCCCATCGATTCGGTTATAAACCCAACCTCTGGTACGAGTTACGATGTTCCTCGAGGAGAGAAACAAGGCGTTCTTCGGCGTGTATTACGTCAGTAGCACACGACCGATAACTTTGCACTCTCCTATTTCGTTCTTCGAGGAGAGACGGCCGTATTTGATTTGCCTTTAATACGATTTCTCAGCGATGGCGACAGCTCCTGGATACGTAACCGTTTCTGGCAGCCCCACGCCCCCTCGAGGGGTTGCAGACGAGTGGAACTCAATTATCCTACAGGTACTCTACCCTCCAGTTTCACAAAACTCTTGATGAATTTCTTCGCGGAATAGAGGCTGTTGCTCGAAAATTCCAGCTTGGGAAAAAATACTGTTCCACGCTGGATTAGTCGCTGCAGATCTTATTCTTGACGACGTCGTTTAGGAAAATGAAAGTCGGGATAGAACATTTGTGCAGAAGCTTTTAGGCGATGATCAACTTTCTCAAATTGTGTCTTTCACATTTTAACCCATAAACGTGCGGTAAGGACGCTTTAGGATCGGTTAGGCATTGTTTCCAATAATTCTCTACTGCGAAGTTTGAGTGAAGAAATATTTGATAACCTAGATTAATTTATTTAATAGAAATTTTCGGAAAAGGCTCGCAGAAATTTCGCTATGGTAATATATGTCGTTCATTTTTAAAAGATACAATGCAACGTGATTTTAGGTTATATAGCGCTTTGTTATTCTAACGCCCCGTCATATAAGCAGACTGTCACTCTAACGCACCGTGATTTCAATGCGATATTATTCTAACGTAGCGTCATTTTAATGCGCCAGTATTTTAACGCGCTGCAATTTCAACGCGCTGTGATTTTAATGCTTTGTCATTCCAACGCGCCGTAATAATGATGCGTTGCAATTCTGATGCAGTGCGATTCCAACGCACCGTAATTCTGACGCGCTGCGATTCTAACGCGCCGTGATTCCAACGCGCTGCAATTCTGACGCACCGTGATTCTAACGCGCCGTAATTCTAACGCACTGTGATTCCAACGCGTTGCAATTCCAACGAGCCGTGATTCCAGCGCGCCGTAATTCTAACGCACCGTGATTCCAACGCGCTGCAATTCCAACGCGCTGTAATTCTAACGCACTGTGATTCCAACGCGCCGTGAATTCCACGCGCTGCAATTCCAACGCGCCGTGATTGCAGCGCGCCGTAATTCTAACGCATCGTGATTCCAACGCGCTGCAATTCCAACGCGCCTTAATTCTAACGCACCGTGATTCCAACGCGCCGTAATTCTAACGCACCGTGATACTAACGCGCCGTAATTCCAACGCGCCGTGATTCTAACGCACCGTGATTCCAACGCGCTGCACTTCCAACGGCCGTGATTCCAGCGCGCCGTAATTCTAACGCACCGTGATTCCAACGCGCTGCAATTCCAACGCGCCGTGATTGCACCGTAATTCCAACGCGCCGTAATTCTAACGCACCGTAATTCCAACGCGCCGTAATTCTAACGCACCGTAATTCCAACGCGCCGTAATTCTAACGCACCGTAATTCCAACGCGCCGTAATTCTAACGCACCGTGAATCCAACGCGCCGTAATTCTAACGCACCACGACTCCACCCCTAAATTACACCGCGTGCTATATAAAATGCGTGTCGATGTACGTCAAACGAACTAAAATAAAAATTTCTTCAGTAACTATCGGTGGATCCAGTATCTTATGTATATTGCACACACGAAATCATACATCACCAGCACACAAACACACACAGAACACGTGAATTGCGCGCACCAATTTTGACTCCCTCGCAATCCCACCCCATTTCCCTCTTTCCATCGTGTTATAACATCCTTCTCATTGTTTAATTTTTTCTTTTTCTCGTACACGCACCTCTCGGTACAAGCAAGAGTCTTTAATGATATGACGATGACCATGATGACATGACACGATATGATATGATATGATAATGAGATGATTAATGTGACCATGACCATGATTTCTTACCATGATTTTATATTTACTTATTTGTTGCACGTTGTTTGGTGCGTCTCCGTAAGCAGTATGACGCGCTCGCAGACACCCTGGCAAACCGACATTTCGGCCGATATTATTCGTGCTTTTCTGATCGAGCATTTTCACGCGATTTCGTTTTATGTGTGTTTAGTCGGGCAAAAAGTGCTCGCGACTCTTCCGGTGCCCTTCGTTAACTTCTCTCCGTGCAGCGATGTTATCGCTTTAAAATTCCTCAAGATCCTCGAGATAATACTCGAAGCGGAGTTTCGAATAAAACAAAGATGTTCGAAAATACCGAATAATTACTCGAAACTGCTTCGCACATCGAGCAAAGAATTATTCCTTATTCTTAGATATCTTCACTTTATTCGAGATTCATAATCGAGGATTATTCTAATAATTCCCAACTACTATTCAAAAGTGTTTAAACGGCGTTAAAGGGACATTTTCCCTTGCTCAAACGTACTTTGTCGCGAACGAATCCGAACCGGGTTATTATTTCGCCGCGAAGAATTCTCCGTCGGAATTTCGCGAATTCAATGGCGCGCGTCTGAAAGAAATTCCACGAAACTTTTCGTGCCTCTCGGTCGCGTCTCGAGAGAATCTTGAGAATTAATTAGCGCGACCTCTGGCAAACGGCCATTGTACGTCCGAGAAATAAACGGAAGCTCGAGAGCGAAAGAAGGTCGGAGGGTCGCGAGAGAAGGGTGAAGAGTCGCGGGCGGTCGCGAAGGGCACAAAGAAACTACGCGCCGTTCCGATAATCTAAAAAGTGGTCGAATCGACGCGAATTCGATAGCGGTGCACGTGAAAAGAGTTGTCTCGTGAATTGCACGCGAAGCACCCCCACAAAAAACGCACTGGTTCGCTTCCAGACCGCTTCGAAGGATCGCGTCGCGCGTCGACCTTTTTCCCGCCTTTTTTCAAATCCCGTTCGATCTCTCTATCTTTCAAGAACTTTCTCTATGCGGAAAGGACACGTTTTCTTTTCATTTTAGACACACTAAGATTGTACGAAAAGGAGCACGAAATGTCGGGCCTGCCAGTCGGCCGTTTGCCGAGCGCTGGCAGTCTGTAAGTTGAGTTTAATGCATGTTGTTTTGTCTGTCCTTGCATGCAGGGATTCGGTTTTGTAACATTCGCAAATAGTGCTGACGCGGACCGGGCACGTGAGAGGCTACACGGCACCGTGGTTGAGGGCAGAAAGATTGAGGTGTGCATGAACATTCTTATACTTATATATATATATACATACATATATATATGTATACATCGCCATTAATTCATTTATACACGTATTGTACTTATTTTTTATATATTTTTTTTTTCTTCTCTGTTTCACAGGTGCACGCGAAAAGCGCACGCGAGCACCTCGCCCGCGCTTCTCGCTCGATCAACAGGCGACCAGCGACCCGCTCGTTATCGATTTTCTTACACGTTTAACCACGCTATTTAATATATACAGGGTGTTTATCTTTCGAGTTTCTTCTTCGATAACGTTTTACTCCACCCACTTTCTGGGAGAAATTTTACTGTGGACACGAATCTGAAACATAAAGATATTCTCCATAGATCGGTTCTTTATTCACCGTAGATCAGTGCAAAAGCAAGAGAGGCCACAAAATATTACGCTGTTATTTTGATATTCAAATGTCTTTAACTTTTAACCTAGTCCAATGTTTAATTCATTCAAATCTCGTGAACGTCCACAGGAATACCTCCCTCGATAAAAATCAATCGAGTAACAAACGCACCCTCTATATATACTTGTAAAGCTTATTTTCATTGAACTTTCCCAAGCGTTGGTCGCCTATTTCACGTTGATCCTAGTTTATAAGCGACGCACGGACCGGTGTTGCTCGTAAAAGTAGTTCCGTTTTTAATCCGCACCGGAATTCTAAGTAAGAACAGAAGTTACGAGCACGCCCCCGGCGTTTAGATATAAGCCAACGGCTCTGATCGAGAGTCGATTATCGAGTTATCGAATTTTCGCGGAGCCACGATCCTTTTTCGAATAATTGTCGAGAAATAATCGCTGACCAAGAGAGGAGGCTCTCGCGTGCTAAGTGAATCCGGTCGAACCACTCGAGGTATCGAGGCTCTTCGATCGAGATCGGCACTCGTCGATCGTTCGAGTGCCTCCAGTCACTTGTGCACTCTATTTTCAACGCGGAACCAACGTATATCGATATGCGTGTAAATTGCACTTGTAATCTCTAGATTCCTTTGCTTAATCGCTCGAGTATTGGACTCTTCGATGTGGATTGGCTCCGCTGAAATTGATCGTGATGCGCTCTGGCAATGACGTCTTCGAGCTTTTCTCGACTAATTACTGTTATAATGCTCGATAAATTTCTAGCTGCAAACTTAGACGGATTCGTATGCTTATAGTGAATTATGGTTATTATAGGAACTTCGTGTAATGAAATCAAACTTGAGTTATTGTAACTTCGATATTAGGTTGCTTAAAGGTGCAGTCTTTAGTAGATCTTCCTCTGAGATGTCTACTGAAAATCTTGTTCATTTTGCTCAGAGGGACTCATGTATCAAATATGACATATCAAATATGTATCATATGGCTACATTCGGTAAATAAATGTGGTGAAAATGTGTAGAGTTTCGTGACATTTAGCATAAAATTAGCATTCAGTCATTGTCAAGTAGCGTCGCGACGTCTCTCGAAAGCGTAAGCAGAGTCGAGACGTGACTCGCATCATCCCGAGCTAATTAATCCTGCAAAGAGTAAGAAATTTGGTGGATGATGCGATTGACGTGAAACCGGCGAAGTTGAAGGGGTGGACGCGCTCGAGACCAAAAAAAGAAACATTAACTAAAATCGAGGAAAAGAGGCACGAGCAAAGAAAAAAGAGCGAGCTCAAGGAAACATCGCTGGCTACTGGTAGCCGATAAAAATTACCAAAGAAAATGTCTGACGCGAGTCTCTTATTGTCCCTTAGAGTTGTTCTACGCGTGACAGATAATAAATAAAGTTGAGAGAGCGAGCGAAATAAAAGAGAACGAATAGAGAAAAAGAGAGAACGATGATATAAAGAAATTTGAACGCTGAACAAGACACTGAGGAGCCTGTCGAAAATTACGAGCCTCGAAGTGTCCGAAAAGGTAAGGATACAATGGCGCGCGTCGAGTTTAAAGGAACACGACTCGATCAGTCGTGACGAGATATATCGCCTCGCACTGCCCGCTCTCTCACCCCCCTCGATAATACACTCGATAATACACACGGAAATCGCACGATCAATTTAACACGAACGCTTCTTCCTGTTTCTTTCGTTCGTGAGACCATCGACTGAGCGAACCTTTGCAAACTTCAACAATTATCTTCGTATTATCTCTAATTACGAAATATTCCTGTTTAAAGACAGACGCGACGAAGCATTGTAAATATAATAGCTAACGTTTCATGAAAATTGAAACACTCGAATTCGATCGCTTCGATTTGTGATCGAATTAAAACGACAAATTAAATCGCTCCGAATCGGAACACGTACAGTCAATCTAATCAGAGCGGAATGTGCTGAATTAAATTCTGTTAACCATTTTACATGGTGTCTGATAGTATAGACAAAAAAGACCTCTACGATAATCTACTATCTAAGTTACATCTATAAAATAAAACCTTTTCATTTCTTTAAAAAAAAAAAATAAACTTGAAGAATTTTTAAAACCTTCTGAATTTTGTTTGTAAACCGTTTATAGTAAAATTAGCTCACAGTAAAAAAAATGAGAGATACAATTTTCTCCATTTAAAAATTAATAACAAAAATAATTTGTCGATGTTCTGTTGTACTACCAGTTACAAAATACTTTGTATATTAAATTATAATCGTAGTGGTTTGTTCATTTTCCGAGTGGTCAAATCAAAAGGTTAACAGTCAATATCAGTTGAATAATTAATTTCGGCACAATGTATGAATTCAGCAAATTTTCTTATGTCTCGAATTCGCGCAATCGATAAATCGATGGAATAAAAGAATACACGAACTTCGGCGGTCTAGCAAAAACGAGGAAAGAGTGGACTCACGTCGATAATTCCGCAGTCAAGATGAATTTTTTAGTTATTTCTTTTCCCTCAAAGTACGGTTTTTCGATTGAATATCGGCTTTCACGAACGATCCGCTCGTACTTTCGTTTTTTTCCAACTCGACGAGGATCTCTTTTACTTTCTGCAAATAGAATCGTAAAATCCATCGAACAAAATGGAAATTTCGTTCGAACAGTGAAATCCATTACCAAACTTGTCTTTCAAAAAGTAAAACATAATTACGTTAACAGAAACTGACAGATCCTTTAATTTCCATATTCGTTTATTCAAATTTTATTCCGCTCTTTCCTGTCGGAATAGAAAGACTAATTTCACGTGTATTCAGCTTCGAGTGTCGAACAGCAATAATTGAAGATTTTAATTATCCGTCATTGAAGAATTAAATCCTAATTACAGTAAATTTTTAACGCACCCGGTAACGCAGTTATTTTGAATACCTCAATAAAATTAAATTAAAAAATGTTACCAAACGTTCGCTCAGCCGGTGGTTAAAATTCGAATATTGCACGGTCGCGATTTGCTTCCGCGTTTTCCAGAACAAAATCGAGTATCCTGTTTGTTTTCCGCGAACGAATATCGCGAGCGTTCCACGCGACACTTCGATGCTAATTGTTAAGTTAAATATAAGCGAAGAAAATCGCACGAGCACTTTCGACTCGTTCGAGCCGCCATTTCGCGCGCCCTTCAGCGTATTCGCGCTTTCGCAGAGCTGATAAATCGCGGACAAAGATGCAGTGGCTGATGGAATTTAAAACAGCTTTAATACCCAATTACGGCGTTACAGTGGCCGCTGTTTCAGTCGGCGTAATAAGCCGCTGTAATTGAAATTTACGAGCTGTTTCATGTTGTGGATTTTATGAACTTGGGATAAGACGCGAATTGAAAATGCTTGCCACCTGTGTTTATACGTAACGAAATAGGCATAGAAAGTCTACGTTCCCAAATTAGTATTGTAGGAGGGTTTTTTAAATAATTATTAAGTATCTGAAGGTTAGGATGTTATATATAGTTCAAGATGTGCTTCGAGGAATGGCAATTAAGTGTCTTTCTCTTAATCGTTTTGGAAAAAAGGTCCTTAACAAGGACGCACGTGACACCGGTCAAAATAGGGTGTCACCCTCATAAAGATGGCGGTAATATCACCACTTAAGCCCTATGGCTTCCAATTTTTACGCCCCCAAATTTCTACGCACCCAAATTCCCACGCCTCCAAATTTCGATGTCTCCGAGTCTCCACATCCCCAAATAACTTAGCACCCCGAATTTCTACGCGTCCGAATCTCCACGTCCCCAAATTTCTACGCGTCCAAATTTCCATGTCCCCGAATTTCTACGCGTCCGAATCTCCACGTCCCCAAATTTCTACGCGTCCAAATTTCCATGTCCCCGAATTTCTACGCGTCCGAATCTCCACGTCCCCAAATTTCTACGCGTCCAAATTTCCATGTCCCCGAATTTCTACGCGTCCGAATCTCCACGTCCCCAAATTTCTACGCGTCCAAATTTCCATGTCCCCGAATTTCTACGCGTCCGAATCTCCACGTCCCCAAATTTCTACGCGTCCAAATTTCCATGTCCCCAAATTTCTACGCGTCCGAATCTCCACGTCCCTAAATTTCTACGCGTTCGAATCTCCACGTCCCCGAATCTCTACGCGTCCAAATTTCCACGTCCCCAAATTTCTACGCGTCCGAATCTCCACGTCCCCAAATTTCTACGCGTCCAAATTTCCACGTCCCCAAATTTCTACGCGTCCGAATCTCCACGTCCCCAAATTTCTACGCGTCCAAATTTCCATGTCCCCAAATTTCTACGCGTCCGAATCTCCACGTCCCCAAATTTCTACGTGTCCAAATCTCCGCGTCCCCAAATTTCTACGCGTCCGAATCTCCACGTCCCCGAATCTCCACGTCCCTAAATTTCTACGCGTCCGAATCTCCACGTCTCCAAATAACTTAGCACCCCGAATCTCTACGTCCCCAAATTCCTACGCCCCCAAATTCCTACGTCCCCAAATTCCTACGTCCCCGAATTCCTACGTCCCCAAATAAGAAAGCACCCCGAATCTCTATGTCCCCAAATTCCTACGTCCCCAAATTCCCACCCCTTGCCACCAGTGTACCCCAAAATCTAAACCTCATTCCCTTAGT